CTATTAGATAATGTGGGGGTTTTTAGGTGAAAAAAACACAAACAATGTTATGGTTTGATAATAAACAAACAAAAATAAACAATTATTTTTAAAAAATACAGTACAATATACAATATACAGGTATATATATATATATATATAGTAATTACAAATATAATTTTATAGTCAAAGAAAATAAGATAACACATGTATGCAAATATTTGTCTGATATTATATAAACATTTAAATTTTTTTAATTTGATTTTTTTTTAAAATAAAAATCAATTTATATTTAGTAGATATGGTTTGTCAAGTTTTATTATTATTATAATTCAAATATTGATTTAACAAACAATTTTTTTTATATCGCCAATGATTTGCATATTAATATTATAGTTTGAATAATATTTTTTTATTATTATTTTATTATTATTTTTTTTTTGAAATGGGGAACTGAAAAAAATATATTGACTTTTACTTTACATATTGACATAATATCTTTGAGTTTTGAAATAAAACTCAAAAAAATTTTTGTATAATATGATAACACATAAAAATAATACAAACTTTATTCAATCAATTCATTGCTGGATTGAGAGATAATATCAATACATGACTAGACTTTATAACTATCGTATTATTTATAAAACTGTATAATACTGTATAAAATCTATAGATTACATTAGATATTCAATAAATATATATATCGTATATATATATATATTTCTAACAAATAGCTCAAACATAATACACATTTTGAATGCTAACCAAACTTTTGATTTTTATTTAGTAATACAATAGAAATAAATATATTAAACTTAATGTATTTTTAAAAGAGAGAAAAAATACTATTATTTTCAATCAGTTTWTATAWATATATATATATATATATATATATATATATATATATATATATATATATATATATATATATATATATATATATATATACAATATATAGACCTTATAACTGATTACAAATTTGTTTTATACAAATTTATTATTTATTTTATGGCAAATAGTTTTTATTCAAATGTCAAACAACTGTATTATTTGCATTAAATTATCGTTAGACTACAACAACAATTATTTTTGCTTATTTATCTGTAAAAAAAGTAAAATTAAAACTTAATTTAAAATAAAAATTTATGTTTTTATGTATAAAATAATAATAATAACATTATGTAAATTATATTAAATAACAAGCAAATTGTATAAACTGTATATAAATATAGTCTAAATTAATCTAAATTTATATTTATATAACTATCTCTAAATTATATAATATATTTAAAATAATAAAAAAATTATTACAACAATCAATCTTATTAAACAAAAAATTTTAAAACTAAATCTAAATTACATTAATACTACTACTATTAATATTAATAATAATTATTTTTTAAAAAAAAACAACAACAATTGTAATGTATTTGTTTACTAATTAAAAAATAAAATTATTTTAACTTAATAAAAAATTTTGTATAATAAAAACAGTTTTACAGTATGTATACTATATATACTGTTATATATATAACAGTATATCATAGTTACTACAATAACAAACTAATCATGGTAATTATATCAATTTTGTTGTTGTAAATCCCTAGTAAATAATGATTAATAGTTTTATCTAGGTCTATTAATTTACTCACTCACTCACTTAGTATAGTTAGACTTTAATACCTTTAAATTTACTATTATATAATAAAATACAATTTTTTGTTTTGTTTTGTTCAATAGCATTATAGACATCAATTATTACAAGTATAGTGTTATAATTTTTGTTTTATTTTTTGTTGTTGATTATAAATCTTTAGAAATTAAATGTAAATATTACTTGAAATTAAACATTTAAATAATTACTTACAATGAAATTTTTTTATTATAATATATTAATTCATTATTTGGAAAATTATTATTATTTAATATAATCAAATAATTTATATATTTTTCAATTTAAATTAAAGTATACATATTATCTTATCATATATTAATAATTATTATATAAACTGTTAGATTTATTCATATAAATATTGGCAAAGTTAAAATAGTTTTTTCGTATGGAACTCATGTGTTTAAATCGAAGTTTTGAAAAACCTGTAATTGCTTTCTTGTTAATATTTAAGTCATTTTTAACTCTTATATCTGAACATTTGTTTAATTGAAGATATATTGAAAATCTTTATGAATTCTCATATTTTAAATCAAAAGAAATTATGTTAGCATAAATGACGAGTTATACAAAAATTAATTTTTAAGTACTAAAATAAATTTTTAAAAATTAAAACCTGTGATTTTTTTAAAGTTCGATATCTAATTTTTATGATAAGTAAAAAATCATTTTTTTATTCAATGATTTTAGCATTTTTAAAAATGATTAAAGTCACACATAATTTACCATAATCGAGATTAAAACTAAACTTTCTATTATTTGTTAATGTGAACTCTTAAAAGTTGTAACTTTTTTTATTTTATACAAATATATGCACTAATTTATTTTTTTAAAAAAAAATTTAAAAATTAAAAACAACTTACTGAAAATTTTAACATAAAGTTGACATAAAGAGTTTTTAATAAATAATTCCATTTTCTGATATTGTTTATCAATTATTTAAAGCCATATTTACATATATAAACAACGTTCACTTAAGAATAATAATCAAATTAAAAAATGAATTTAATTGTTTTTAAAACTTAACAATATTTAGTAATAAACATTAAATGTTACTTATATCAAAATTAGTTATATGAGGTATTATATAATTTCAATAAAACTTCATTTTTGTATTTAGAAATTGTGCTAAAGTAATTTATCTGTAAACTACAAAATTTTAAACAAATTTTAGAATTAAAATTGTTTTGATGTTCTGTAGCATATATTGTCAGCAATTATTTTAAATTTAAAGTGTTTATTTTAGATTTTTTGCATTTTGAACCGATTTAGCTAGTTTTAATTTTTTAAAATTACGTCCTATTCTATTTTTTCAGCTATCTAGTGCATGAAAATAATAAAATTTGCTCAACTACAAAACTAAAATTTTAACAATATTCTTAAGAGATTTAAATTTTATCTTTGGGTGTCTTTAAAACCGTCTTTATTATTGAATACTCTTATATTCTATAATGAAATTTGTTAGTGTAAGTAATAGACTGATAATTAAGCTAGTAAAAATTGTGTAGTTTGAATTTTTAATAATTTGATAGAATAATAAAAAATAAGGTTAAACTTCGATTTTCTATATATATATATATATATATATATATATTGTAAAATAAATTGTCATTTCCTTACTAATGCTAATACAAAAAATAAATAAATAATTTCAAACAAAATATTATCTATAATATAAAATAATACATATTTTTTTGTATTAAATAATATTTAAATAAATATGAAATGCAAATTACAATCACAAAAAAATATAATTATTATTATTAATTTATTTTATTTGTGTACATATATCTATAAATTTTATATATTTATCACAATTTGTATTTATTGTTCATATGGGAAATGTCGTATATATAAATATATATAAAAATTTATATTTATATTAGATTTATATACACTATTATTGTTATATAAAAATATATATTGCAAAACATATGTCTATATTTGTATGAAAAAGTATAAAATACTGTATAAATAATAGATAATTAAAAAAATTTATGTCATAAATAAAATTTACATAATTATGTAAATTATTTTTAAGCAATAATTATTAATTTTAATAAATTCAAATAATTGAATAAAAATAAATTCATTACTAATTGAAACATATGATTCATATATATATATATATATAACATTTGGATTAAAATTATATGTTTTACTAATTACTATAATTGTTTCAAAACAAATTAATAAAATTAAATAACTAAAATTAATGTTTATGGCATTTTTGCTATAAATAAATTAAAATCAAAAAACATATGATCTATTAAATAAAGATATATAATATACTAATGAACAGCTAATCATTATAATTACTATAATTATTTTGTAATTTAAATATATAAAGTATATATGTATATATAATTATAATAATTAATAATATTAATAGTATTCAGTAGATAGTTTATATTACTTATTTATATATATATACTGTTTATATATGTATATTAAATTTTGTATTAATATTAATTATAAATAATTAATTATATTTTATTTTGTATTTGTTTAAACAATTTTACAGAATATTCTCTATTAAAATATATTTATATATAATTATATATACAATCAAATAGAAAACTAAGATATTTTATTAGTAAAAATAGATGTCATTCAATGTAGAGTCAAAAGTAAAAGTTTTGTTGCAAAATGTGATTATATATATTTTTATTATTAAAATGTTTTTTATATTTCTAGAAAATATATAGTATATAATATACTGTACAATGTATATGATATATTGTATAATATATATAAATAGATTATTTTAGTGGGTCAAATAGTTATGCTAAAAGTGAGCTATTTGTTAGACACAATAGATATATATAATTTATATATATATATAGAAATTATAGAATATAAAAATTATATGTATATTTAATAATAATAATAATAATAATAATAATAATATTATATATATATATAATGAAATAGTTTTATATGTATATTCATTACAAATATACAGTACATATACACAAATTAAATCACTATAGTTGTAATACAGTATAAATAGCAAATAAGACTAGCTTGGATTGCACCCAATAAAATGACATTAATTTTTTTTGGGCCAAATATATATATATATATATTTCAGGGTATATATATATATATTGCATTTTTAAACGGCAATTTTTTCAAAAATCCAAAATCATGAGAGAAAATTCCCTAATATTCCCTTAAATTCCCGAATATTCCCATGTAAATTAAGGAAAATTCCCATAAGTTCCCGTATAAGTTCCCAGGAAAATAGGTAAAATTTCCAAAAATATTAAAAAAATTAAAAATTAATAAAAAACTTAATAAAAACTTAAATTTTAACAAAAAATAAATAATTTTAAAAAAAAAT